CCATAGTTCCTTTCAGAATTTAATACACCATATCCTTAGTGGTGCACGCAAATTTAGTCTAGAGCCGTAGTTCAAACAGGAGAGATTTCTCATAAAAGTGCAGCATTTAGTGATATTCATGTGAAACCATAAAATCTCTCTAAACAACCACAGTTTTGTTGAAATCTGATTATATTTGTTTTTTTTTCTCAAATGAATATGGTGTTTACTAAGCCGAACTTGAACTGACCGTGCAAAAACACTCCGAGAAGAAACTTTTAAAAGTTATGTGGTGGCCGTGTCAGTAGGCAAGAACTCTGCTTGTATCAGAAACTCTTCCTGGTATTCTTCGATCACATGAGAAGAAACTTTTAAAAGTTATGTGGTGGCCGTGTCAGTAGGCAAGAACTCTGCTTGTATCAGAAACTCTTCCTGGTATTCTTCGATCACATTACAATATTTGGTCCAAAATGCTCCATTTCAGTGCAGCTCAACCAGCAATTTGGAAATTTTTATTTTGATGCACCAAATTTCCTAGGCAATCCAGCAACTGCGTGGACACTAAACTATTTCAGCTTCTGTCCGAACGAAAACGTTTCGCATGTGGAGCACTCTTGGAGCCCCAAATTAGCCGAAGTGCATTTCTCATGTTTCCAGGGAATGCAAAGGCAATTTTGTCTGGATCCAAGTTTTCGATAAACCAGGCACCACAGGCAAAGTGCAGCTCAACCAGCAATTTGGAAATTTTTATTTTGATGCACCAAATTTCCTAGGCAATCCAGCAACTGCGTGGACACTAAACTATTTCAGCTTCTGTCCGAACGAAAACGTTTCGCATGTGGAGCACTCTTGGAGCCCCAAATTAGCCGAAGTGCATTTCTCATGTTTCCAGGGAAATGCAAAGGCATTTTGTCTGGATCCAAGTTTTCGATAAACCAGGCACCACAGGCAAACGAAAATTTTGGCGGCACTTCAAGAAGTGGAAGTCACCTGGATCACTTGCAAAACATGTAATACGATGTAGCTGGTTTGTTGCATTTCCGAACAATGGTGGTTTGGCACCGAACGACAGGCGCGTACCTTAAAACGGTCAAGTAGGTTGTACTGAGTTTATTTTTGCCCGAAGTAAGCAGTTTGTGTCATACCAAATTTTGAAATGTCCAATCAGCAAACGAATATGGAATCACACGCTAAAATTTAGTCACCCTTACCCAATAGGCTTTTTAGGACGTATGGCCGTTTTTGATGGTATGAATTATTCCTAATTGGCCGCTGAAAGGTTGCCACGAAATCGTCCAGGAGGACGATGACAAGAAATTCACTCATATTCGTTATGCCAAACATGAAGGAACTGCCTCGTTAGGAGTCGTGTTGAAATTCATGCTATAGACGGTATAATTTTCGTGGCACTTGAGTCATTTGAGTTGTGTTTTGGCTTGCTGTTCAGAACACCGCCCAACGATAGATAGCGTCTGCATGCGCAGCCCGTGCACACTACGCTGCATGCATCAAACTGGCAGGCTTGAGACCACTTCTGGATAGCTGCCCTACTGTTGGATTTTCAGTATGCTGAACATAATGCAGTTAGTTATGGAATAAATCAACTAAAGTAGTTTTTATCCGACCGGGACTTCATCGCTTAAGGAATCTTTGGCAACATAGTCACTCACTGCTTACCCAATTCTCCGAAAATATGTATGTCGATTAACACTGATTGCAATCTACTTGCAGGTCTTCGGGGTGCGTAAGCCTAGATCTTTGGTTCCCATGAGTCATATCGGAATCTCTTAAATACTACCCAGTGGCTCAGTTGGTTCACTTAAGAACTGTTTGTGCTTCGATTGACTTAAAACCGTTACAAGGTCGATAAACTCCGTGCGGTAAGAAAATATACATCCCAAAGTTAGTTATTCTGATAATGGCCATCTTCACATTGCGCACAGTCAAGCTTTCTCCCTTTCTCTGTTTACTTGAGGGTATCTTGTTTTCCCATTTACAGTTTTCGTTCGTTCTGGTACTCCAGCTTCTTAACTTTCAAACTTCTCACACACAGCAACGAATTATGTCATGTATGCAGGAACGGTGAACAATCACCTGAATTGAACCGTTTATTGGGACAGAGAATAGCACGTTCAACCGCAATACAAAATGACTGACTCAACACATCAGAATCGCAAAAAATTTGGATCAATACATCCAACAAAAATGAACAGTGGCCGATATCTACGGTCAGAGTAGAGATAGTTTCGCATCCCACGGCTCCCGTTCTTCATTCAGGGTCTTCCTTTACAGTCTGCGGAACAAACATAAACTGCACAATTTGCGGGGTGTTTGATAAATATATCATGGTCCAAAATGCCTTGTGGTTACTGCTTTAGTACAATTTTTTAGCTTTTGGGTATGAACTGACATATATAATTCGGAGGAAAAGCCTGACAACCGGACATTCAAGGACACTGTCTCCAACCAATGGAAGTCATCAGTTCCAGACATGTTAGTGACGAACTATCATCGGTCCGCTTCCTTCCGGTATAATGTATGAATCAGTTGGATAACCTGCCTTTTCGACTATGGAGGACAATAGGCTTTTCGCGTCTATTATGCTGGATGAAAGTGGCAAAAGCACAAACGTTTCTACAGGTATGAACACTCGCTTTACACCCATGCAATCTTCCACCGTTATTTTTATTATGTTCACGTTGCATACAGTTTCCCGTAATGTGTATGAGTTTATCCGAATCAGTCGTACTCATCCGATACATAGAACGATTAATCCGACTAAGCACCCGCCGTTGCTTGTAATTTTACAAGCTAATCTCGTGCACATGCGTTCCACGTGATGTGATAAGAATGACCGCTTTAATCTGTTTTAGAACCGGGGGAATAAGACAGCGGCTGACAGGGATGGGACTTCCCAGAAATTCTCAAAGAGTTCACGGTGGACTTGTTGTGGCTCTCTCAGTTTGGTCCGGGTTTTGAAACCAGTCCTCACCTAAGTAATACAGAGTCATTACAAATTGCAACCTGAGACTGGCTAAACATAAAGTGTTAAGGATACTGCTTATAGCATGTAAGAAAATGTGTCTTACCACAACTTTATAAGTAAACCAATAAGCAATGAACGCAGCATCCATGCTGCAGACTTCTGATGCATCAGGTCTATCTACTGCATTTTTATGCCTCGGATAAATGTTGAAGAAGAGTGGATTCGGCAAGCAATATGCTATGTGATGTATCAAATTCTGCCACAAACGACACAGAAATTTCCTGAAGCTCTCTGCCTTTCATTCTTACGTGACATACGGGATGAGCGCAAACCCCATGTGAATTGCCCGTCGCCTGTCGTGACAAACCAGTAGTAGACGCGACTGCAGACGACTTCGATAACACGGGACAATTATAATCTCTTGGCTAAACGTCATCCAAACGACTAGTGTGCACACCTCACGTAGCCTAATGACGTTAATTTGTCCGCTTCGATCAACTGCAGCTCAGCCGTGTTACGGGCTAGGTTTACTCCGTCTTTGCATTAGAAAACATTTTACCTACCGCTAATCTGACATCCTAGAATAATTTTGGTCCGTAAAACCTAGATAGAAGTCAACTCAGCCGACCAACTACGAATTATGCGCAAATTATTTGCACGTTGATACTCTTGCTGTGTTATTATCTATGTGGTGCGCTGTTTTGAACTTGCAACGTCTTTGTGGTCAAAGTAGTTTTTATGAAGCATTCGGCAAACCCAAATTGCCTCCAACATGAAACTGGGATCCCAACTGCGAAGACTAGACAGCTTGATGTTCTCTTGCAGAGACGAACACATGCACATATACAGCAGCACATTCCATCCTATGTCTAAAGCATGGCTGAGGCAGGGTAGTGTGTGTGTGTTTCAATGATCCCGAGGCATACGTATGCCCTGCGCTGCACTCGTCCACTGAGACCAGGAAAACAACGGAATGTTTTGGTCGGCTGGCTGACACAAAAATAGCTTGTCTATTCATAGGGCGTGATGAGCATGGTTGATGCTCTATTCATTGCTCTATTCACCATCCTCTTATTTTAATTTTACAAGCACTATATACACAATAATTTGAACACAGGTGCTACTCGTTACGGAGTGCTGAATTCTGAATTTCTAGTTCGTTTAGCTGACCTCAATTAATACCTTCTGGTGTCGTTATCGAAACAATTCATCGTGCCTTCCGAATTGGAACCATTAAATGTCAATTCGAATGCGCGAGATGTAGAAGATTATCTGGAACGATGATGGTGATATATGGTGTCTTTCAATATTCCAAATGAATGATAAGAAACTCACGGCATGTTTTCTGCATTCTGTTGGCAAGAAGGCGTATGCATTGCTCAAGAATTTAGTATATCTTGATTCCCCAATCAATATTCCTTATAATGCATTTAAGGAAATGTTCTGCAATGCTTCAAACCTATTAACTTCGTAGCAGCCGAAACAGCCTGGTTCCGTATGTTGATGTGCTCTCGTTCTCAGTCGATTCGTGATTTTATATTGCAGTTATAGACACGGACAGCCAAGTATGCGTACGGTGCCTAACTAGAAGACCGATTGCGTGACAGACTCACTGATGGTATTCAATTACCCAAATTACAACAGAAGCTATCCATATCAACAAGTCTATCCATATCAACAATGCCAAACTATTCGGAAAGTATGTAACCAGAATGAAGATGTGAAGAATACAACGAAGACTGATGGACCTGTGTTGTTAAATTACTCTAAAAAAACTCCCTCACTGATACAGACAGCCAACACACTCAAATCTCGAACACATTTTCGTGCCTCGAATTCATCGCCGTTTCATACATCGTAATTCTAATTAACAGGTTTAGAAATTTCGGAAATGTGAATCTTGTGGACGAAATCATTCCAGATATTTACGACCTCACAAGCAAGCGAGGTGCTTTGTCTGCAGGAAAACTGAAACACCCAACTTGTTTGTAAGTCCAAAAAGGTGTGTCACTTAACTTCTGATCCTACTACTGACCTGAAAGCATGAACTGAAGACCTCCATACATTTTTTCTATCTATTTCACCCTAAAATCCGTCACCTGTTTTTAAGACTTAGATAGCCTGTTCAGGTAAAAACATGCTTGCCTTGGTGACACTGGTAGCGTTGAGTCCATTATTCCACAGTCAGACCTAACAGCATTTTATCTAGATGTTGCGATAGTTCCTACAGAAGTTAATATCCACAGTAGCACTGGACATTCTGTACCTCTAGTTGGTAGTTGTACCACTCCTGTGAGGTTGCCGCAAGGTCACCGAATGACTGTAAATTTCTAATTTCAGCCTCACGACCATCGATTGACGGACTTAAAGTTTTGCACTCACTGTAAGCTTTTACCTCCCTACTTGGATATAATCATCTGCTTACTGCTCCCCGACATCCGCAGTTGAATGGGCTTGCGCAAACACTTTAATCTTCCATTACTTCATTCTCTCCTACCTCTTTCGTGGAATTGGACAGCGGAATTCTTAGCTCTATAATGCAATGCGGAAATGCCATTTATTCAGTTACTTAGAAAAGTCCCGGGATCTTTTTTAAACCTAACTGATTTTCTGCAAATCCTAACTATGCCAAAATGTTTGGTATTCCGTTTTTCAAGGGTAGTCTGCTACAGGAATAATACCTTCATAAAATGGCAAATACATGATAACGATTCCCGATTTGGAATATATCTGTTGTCACCGGCGCATTGATCGGGTTGCGTCCGACAAAAGAGGACTACCGGTGTAACGGTGATACTACTGATCGGGAGGCACGCGAGTAGTATGTGTTGTTCGTAGAATTTCACTTTGGGTCGATTGAAAAATGGAATTCTGTTGCGGAATTCATGGGACCACTGTAGAACATTTGCTTGGATTTGACCAACGAATGAGTGGAGGCATCGAATCTCTAGGAAGACTCGTTCGGGAGAAGATCTGTGTCCAGTTTTTGGAACTAAGATGCAGATTAGTGTTTTGCTTCCCTGTTCAATGGTCTGTAACCGGTCAGTTGGCATTTCCGAATAAATAACTCGACAGCAAGGGCCTTCTTCCTTTCACCGATACTTCTGTTGTCTCCAATTCTTTCGTAGATTGTCTTATCGTATCCAAACAAAACATTATTTCTGAAGAGCATTCTACCTGTAAAGAACCTCAAGTCTCCAGTCCGAGGGGATCCGAAAGATTGGGATCAGCACTACGACTGAACGCACGCCCACACACTCTTCGTCTTTCCAATTCTCCGGTAAACATGAAAAGATCTTGACTCAACCCATCCCAATTAAAAATGAGCTCCATGTTTCTATGCAATTCTTCCGCCCTCAAAATTAGATATTTTGGTATTGTATCGTACTTCGTCGCCTTTGGCCTGCATTTCCAGTTTGCTCCATGGATTAAATAGGCTTTTACGCCTTGGAAGCACTCAACCAGTCATCATCAACTATTTCATTTCGAAAAGATAAAGCTATTGATTAGTCCATCAAGCCCACCATCCGCGCTTAGGCGGATCGACATACAAGATTAGAATGTTGGCTCAATCCCTTCTTGCCATGTTCCTCTATGTCGCTCGGCGGATTTGTTTCGCTTGGAAGACCCGTGCTTCAAACGACTGAAGCACCGCCTTTCAAGTTCTCAGCTTTGGGCAGTAGGGAGGCGAGCGCATGTAAAGGCATCCTAAATTGATCTGGACTAGTTTTTAGGTGCGCCTTGGTCAAACGTCGAGTGAATGTTATTTTGCACATAGACAAACCGAACTGAGGAAACTTTCCCCCAACAAGCTTTGGCGCGTTAACCTTGAAAATCTTTTCGGCATGTTTAAACCGTGCATTATTGTGCTCAGAAGCGAAATATTAATCGACTCCCCAAATAGGTCATAAAAATCAGTTCTCAGTGGGGCGACGGTAGCCCAAGGATAGCCATTAGTGTTTACTTGTCAATGGCTTCGAGATCTGATTCTTCCACGCAAGAACTCTAGGAGAAAGAAGACAAAGATATTGGGCGGGTATGGAAAGTCCAGAAGAAGTCAACAACATTTCCGGTGGTCCGTATTCAGTAGTCTATTTGCACCGTTTAATAAAATCAAGGGACTTCTGAAAACATCGCCAATAAGAGGCGTTTTACAGGTAATCAAGCAGCAATGGCTGCTAGATACATAATTTCACCAAGCAGAGCTCGTCTTGATGCTGGACAATCGATTTGCCAAGTTTGTCAATCATGAGCAAGATGAGCCGTTGTGGCACCGAAATAAAATGGATATACGATTCAGTCGGCTTAAAGTCTGTTTACGCACCTCATAAACTAGCAATTCGTTCGCAGTTGTTGTATCTGTTTCAGGTTCCCCCTTTTGAACGCCGCACGCTCTAGCAAGAGTTCTGACGAAGCAGCTCATGAATTTTTTGAGGTAATGTCAAGCTCAAAGTAGTCTTCAGGCCACTCATGACGCGAATCGCTCTGGCAGGGAAAAATAACGTGTACAGTTGTAAGTCTGACGAAACCTACGGATCGATTAAATTATCTCGTCGTTAGCGGAAAATGTTTGGCATTCAACTATAGCGTCTGCGGCCTGGTCACAAACCAAGGCTATGTGATCTTTGAAAAAACGCAGTCGTGGTGCCCACTGAGTCTTGCCTCAATTATGCCACCACTGTAGGTACTGGCACAAGTTGGCAGTTGTCTACATTTCCCTGGCATGGTCGGCAGTCACGCCTGGCCCAATCAAACGGAATCTTAAAGTAGAACGCACAAAAAAGTGCCTCCACTGAGACACTCAGGCCATATTCCCGAACATGGTCGAAGAAGACTTTCTAAGTGAGCGGACAAACTAGGAAGAAACCTTGTTTCACGCATAATCTGTTGTAGGTAGATATGTTTTCACTTGGCACCAAACTTTAATTAAGTATAGTTGAACAGACCCCTGAAAGTATTGAATACCGGAATGCCTTCCCATACTTCGCAATCCTTTTCCAAAGTGCTTCAGTCAGTATAATATTTGAAAATTGTTTGCCCCATTTTGTTTTAGGAGTAATAAGCCTGGAGGAAGCAAGTTTATGTGGGCCTCCAGTGCAGCAGTAAAATTAAAGAATGGTCTACTGAAGGGTGAGTGATTCCCACGCCCACTTGAGATTCTCGACAGGAGCGGCTCTTGGTGATAACCGCACGGTTAAGGATCACCAGCCTTCTGCATTCAGTACAGCTTTTGTTCATTTTTCGCAGCATGCAAGTTGGTCTAGCACTTGGAGGAAACAGTCTGGAATTTTGAGTAAGAATTTTCGCCGGCGAACAATGTTGCAATGCACCGGGCAAGCACCGCGAATTGTGGCCTTTGAGGAGTCAGCTCCTGATGCCGCGTAAATGTGATTGCATACTAGTGATCGGTCTCTTGATACAACTCAGCCGCATAGTACTCATTTTAGCACAGCGCATGAGTTTCCGCACGTTCTAAGCCGCTGTACCATTGAAGTTTGTGGATTGATCTATGACTACACTAAAAGTAGGATATCATCTTTAGACCTTGCGACTTTAATATCCTGTGGGTCTCATTCAAAATCTACCTGTTTTCTTCAATGTTTTTGTTGAGTAACGAAATGCCGAAGCCTGTGACAACTTTCAGACAGCAAAAACATTCTTCGGAGAGAGATATGACCCACCCAGCAGCGCGATCTTCAGTTCACCTCAAATGGGGACATTAACCGCAACTTGACTGTCAATCTCAGTGGACTAGTCAACAACCAATGTGTGTAACCAAGCCACCAATATTCCAACACACAACCAAATACCCTGAATGTTTCGGTCGCCCATGTGGACCACCACTTGTCCATTGCACACTGATGCAGTGTGGTTGAGGCCCTTGAGTGTCGTGGAGGAACTTGTGATCCCTGTGCATGCAGCTAGTGCGTCTACGATATCCAAACCTGCGCTGACAGGCAAGAGTTACCCATCGTAGATCAGCAAGCTGTAGGAGATTTCCTGTATATTTTTCCGGAATTGCTCCAGCGGTTGTTTGGTTGATGCTATTAATCAAATCGGCGCAACCGCTAGTGGCTCTAGATTCTTCACTAACTATAGCGGCTTCGTGGTTCAAGTTTGTGAAATTCGGTGGGAAAGCTCACCAAAATCACACTGGCAATCCGGTTGGCAGCCGGTTTTTTACATCTGAATATTGAAGGAACTACAGATCGGAAACGAGAAGAGGCGCCTGCACTGTTTCCGTCGCCGGCATAGAACAGCCTGCTTTTACATGTAGTAGCATCGGCAGAGGCGTCAAAGCAGAAATGTTCTTTCCGACGGACTATAGAAGCCGGTAGTAGATGTTGCACAGCGTTCGACTGTTGAATACCTACGGCGGGCTGCTGACTGCTTCAACAGAGCCCATTTTAAAAAGTCGCCCGGAAAGAACAGCATCTGTAAACTGATCATGCTTCTATGCGCTACATTTCTCAGGGCTGATCATCAAGCAGTTCAAACCATACAGCTATGAATAGGCCTTCGGACCACTTGAAAACAAGCATGTTTGAATGGATGGTCAAATGTGTACTGCATAACGCAATGGACCTTGTCGGACTTTGCTCTTATCATGATGTTTGGTAATATGGCCCTACGTTTTTTAGTGGCCCAGGTGATACCAATCGAACCTGTGTATTCACACAATAAAATCGAATTTTCGAGCTACGACGTGTATCTGATGGACTAAAAGGGACAGGTAATTGAGTTCGGAGTACGAGTTCAAACTTTTGAGCATCGTCTAGGCATCCCCTAGTCTCAGCAATGCTGGGACAGTATTCTACTAGATATTTATGTGTGGTGACCATTAACTCTATTCTATTCATTCTGTTTAGTGTATTTTTATATGCCTTTGTTTTACGATGCGATATATAGTGCGCCCGCGACATACGAGAATATACAATATTCATTCGTCCATATTCGGACTTCTATACTACGCGTACATTCGGTAGTTAAGATACCTACCACTATTCTAATTATCACATTTGGCGTCGCGGTCCGGAATTTTTTTCTCTTCATCACAATGTTATCT